GCGCATGCACGCTGCTCTTCTCTCTTTCGTCGTAACTCTGTGTGTGTGCGTGTGACAGTGTGTATGTGTGGTGAACCAATCATTCGCCTCAGTGCCAATCCCAATCCTCGCTGGATATCTCGGCCCATCTTCGTCCCTGCAGTCTCGGGGTCCCGGGTCGCCGGGTTGCGGCACCCAGTCGAGGTTGGATTCATTGCGTTGAGTTCAAAGATGGATGGAAGCTTCTGAAAAAAGGTATCATACTTTTCAAAGTCCAAATATGGTCCGTCATGCTTGGAATGGGGTCAATCAAGAGACTTACTATCCTTACCATCAAATTCCGTACCCGTATACCATGTTCGAAAAGAGCTCGGCACGCATCCGACCCAGTAACGTTCTTTGCGGTTTGCGACGGATTGGCTTGTTCGGGATTCTTGGAAAAGGGGTGACTAAAGTCTCACCCTTCACTGATATTCGCCGACTTCATTCGCTGTCACGCTCATGATCATAGGTCACATCCAAAGTCTCCAAGACCACCCCGTATCGGAGGGCTGTTCAAACGGCATCAGTTTGTTACAAGTGATGTTGTTCGCGGTGAGCATGCGTACTCTTGTAGGACTTCGATTATCGAGCAGTACCTAGATTGCACAGCACGTTGAATCCAGAACACCACAACGTTAGTAACCTAAGGTAATTTCCCCGTCGTCATATGAGGGGGTGTCCTCTTGCCCTTTCGCATCGTCGAGGACCGAAGCCAACAACCTGCACATCGCAGTTCAAAACACAAAAAAAAACCAGTCTAGATTTCTGCCCAGGTCGAACCACCAGCCCTCTCAACCATATCAAAGGAGGCATCAAAAGCACCGGACACCACACAAACCTCCCAAAATCACAAACGGCATCGAGGAGAGGCAGCCTGCCCTCACTCCTCCCTTTGCACAGCATACATCTTCACTCCACAACTCCATCATGTTTTCTTCAAACAATGGAAGCAATAAAAATAGGTAGAGATGTATCTACATAATTTCCTACAAGTACAACACTATGAAGAAAGTTGTTTCCCCCATCTTTACTCCAGGAAAGAAAAGCCCCCAATGATGATGATATGCCTTCTACTAGTAACACATCCGCCATAAAGGGCAAGAGTTGAGAGAGAGAGAGAGATAGCCTAGTTCTTTTTAAGGGGGAGAAACCGGGGGGTTGTTGATAACAAAAATACAATTTGCGGCATGTTGGCGTCCGCATGCCACCGTCCTACGATACATCCTCCTCCTCCAATCACATACACCCTTCATCTCCTCGGCGCGTCCTCAAGGCTCTTGAAAGTCGGCGACGGGCCGACGGGCGGCTGCTCAGGCGGGCTATCGACCTCTTCCGTAGGGAACGGCGGCGGCGCGCTCTTCTGCCCCTGTCCGCCAAAGTACTTTTCGAATTCCTGGTTGTCGCCAAACGGCCGGGGGCCGAGTAGGCGCACCAGGTCGTCGCGCGTCAGCATCTCCTTCTTGAGGAGCTCCTCGGCCACGATGCCGACCTCCTTCTTCTTCTCTGTCAGCAGGTCACGGCACTGCTTGTAGGCCTCCTCCACGATGCGGTGCACCTCGGCGTCAATGGCCTGCGCCGTCGCCTCCGCGAACGGCTTCTGCAGCGTGTTCGGGTCGTCGTCAAAGTGCAGCGGGCCGACCTTCTCCGACATGCCCCACTGCGTCACCATCTTGCGCGCCATGTGCGTGACCTTGCGGAAGTCGTCGCTGGCCCCCGTTGTGACGGTGGGGAAGTGAAGCTCCTCCGAGATGCGTCCGCCGAGCGTCATGGCCATGCGGTCCATCAGCTGCTGGACAGTCATGAGATAGGCATCGCCCTGAGGAAGGTACTGGGCATAACCCAATGCACCTTGGCCACGGGGGATAATGGAAACCTTAAGGAGGGGGTCGGCGTTCTTGAAGTACCAGCCGCAGATGGCGTGGCCGGCCTCGTGGTAGGCCACCGTCTTCTTCTCCTCGGGGTTGAGCACAAGAGACTTGCGCTCGAGACCTCCGATGACACGCTCAATGGCTTGCTCAAAGTGAATCATCTCCACTGACTCGGCATTGGCACGCGCAGCTAGAATAAAGTTAGCATGTCTGGCAGATCAGGAGCTAGAAGTCAGATCAAACTCACCAACCAGGGCAGCCTCGTTGACGGCGTTGGCAATGTCAGCACCGGAGAAACCCGGAGTCAGAGTTGCCAAACGGCCCATGAGGTGGTCCATATCTTCCTTGGTAACAATTTTGGCCAGGTGCACCTTGAAGATCTCCTGACGACCCTTCATGGTCGGGCGATCGATAAAGATGTGCCTGTCGAAACGACCGGGACGCATCAGCGCCTTGTCAAGAATGTCGGCTCTGTTGGTGCCAGCGAGGACAACAACCTGCTCCTGGGTGTTGAAACCGTCCATCTCGGTCAAGATCTGGTTCAGAGTTGCTTCGCGCTCGTCGTTGCCGCCCATACGGTTACCCTCCTGTCTTGATCGACCAATGGCGTCGATCTCATCGATGAAGATGATGCAGGGGGCACTCTTACGGGCATTTGCAAACAGGTCTCGCACTCTTGAAGGACCGACACCAACAAACATCTCGACAAACTCGGAACCGCTGACGCTGAAGAAGGGAACACCAGACTCGCCGGCTGTGGCCTTGGCAAGCAACGTCTTACCGGTTCCTGGGGGTCCGGCAAGAATGGCGCCGCGAGGGATCTTTGCGCCTAACCTCTCGAAGCGCTCGGGGGTCTTCAGGAAGCTGACAAACTCCATAATCTCCGTCTTGGCCTCGTCCATACCGGCAACATCGCTAAACTTGACCTTGATTGCTGTTTCGTGGTTAAACTTCTTGGCCTTGCTCTTGCCAAATCCAAACATCTGGTTGCCGCCACGTCCACCCATCGACTTCGTAGTGTAGTAGAGCAGACCAACCAGAAGGAGTGTGGGACCGAAGGCGTAGACCAAGGGCATGATGCCACCCTCGCTGGCGTAGCTGACGGGAATGCGCTCCGAGGTAGGGATGCCGAGTTCGTTCTGGGCGTCCTCGAGCTGCTTCTCGAACATCTCTACTGAGCCAATGGAAAAGTAGTACTGCATGTTGGGGTTGACACCCTCGTTTCCGCCGTACACCGACTGCACTCCATCCCTGTTCAGCTCAACACGCACGCGGCCAGGGTTCTTGATGACCACCAGCTTGTTGACCAGACCCTTGTCCAGGAAGTTCTTTCGCAGCTCCTGCCATGTGATCTCCTTCTCCTGGCCGAAGATCATGGACTCAAAGAAGGGCAGAACGACGATCCAGACGATGGCAGCAACAATCAGGTCGCCGGTGCTAAGCATGCCAAAGATCCATCTCTTGCCGCCCAATCCGCCGCCTGGTGCGCCCTCGTTGCCCTCCGAGTTGGAGTTGCGCCCTTCCTTCTGTTGCTTGCCCTGCTCGCCCTGCTGGGAGTCCTTTGCGCCGTCCTCCTTCTCCTTTGTCGGATTCTGCTCCTCGCGCATAAGCACAGTCTGCTCGTATTCGGAGAACCTCTTTGCGACCTGCGTCGAGACGCGGAGAATCTTGGCGATGTCGGTGACCGTCATCTTCAGCTTCCGCTCCCTCAGTGTCAACAGGAGATCCCTCAGCTCCTGAGGAGCTCCCAACAGCTTCATCTCCTCCACACTCTTGATGAAGAAGTCCTTCTGGAACCGAGGCAGTCTGTCGTTCTGTCCCATCTTGAGCAAATTCTCAATCTCCTCCTCGTTGAGGTAGACCCATCCTTCGGGCAACGGCCATTCTTTCCTTATTTGCTCCTCTTTGGACAGCTTCTTCTCAGGTGCCTCTTCCTTCTTTTCAGGTTGCTTCTCATTCGTCTCCTTTTCGTTCTTCGGGGGCTCGGGGCCGTTTGTCGAATAAAACCGCGATCGATAGCAAGCTAGCGGAGCTTGCGGTCCGAGTCGTGCTATTCTGGAGGGCTGGAAGCGCATACGTGTTACCGGCTGCTGAGCGATCCTTACAGCTCGCGCGAGCTGCGCGGACTGGCGGAGGAACCTCGCCATGGTGTTGTGTTGTGTCTGTATGTCGCGGGGTGTCGAGGCGGGACGACCGGAGTCGGGTAGGAGGGAGTATTAACCGCGTGCAGCAATGTGCTATCTCATCGATGCGCCCCGGTAGTCGTATACAATGGTAGGTCGGGTGTCAATGGGTTTGTGATGGCGAAGTAGAGCACCAGCCGCACTTGGTTGCAGCGTTGGTGGTGAGAGAAAATCGTGTAAGGTGTGGTTGGTAATTGGACCAGGTGTTCCTAGGATGACTGTACGATGGCAAAAGCTCCCATAGTGATGAGTTCATGTCGGGCCCCATTGAGGCCGAGATTTTAGCGGTGCACGTGACTGTCAAACTCCGTCCGCAGCCATCCAGCAAAACCCCCGGGCCCACCGCTGCCGCCTCCAGCGCCCCCCGTTCTCGGCTAAGAAGGACCTTTCCGCCCGCAAACTCCGATAATAATGAATGACACCTTGAATTCCATTTATACCACGCGTCGGTGGACAGGGTCTAGAGTGGTCCCGCCCGCTCGATTCTCAGGCCACCGTCTACTTACGTACATCATCAGTAATGTCTACGCAGTATGGAGTATAACCTGGTGCTTTGCTACCGTACCGTTGTTGGCCAAGAACAAGTAATGATTTCATTCAAATGTGCACGTTCTACGAATATCACATGGCATCTTTCAAAAAAGGGAACAATTCTAGAGCATCGCCTTGGTAATTTTGAATATGTCATTTCCGCCACTCTTTGGCAGGGTACAGCGTAATAAGCTAGATTCTCCCTACAAGTCTCCCAGCCATAGCTCCGTTCGGCAGGCCAATTACTCGTACATGCGTTAAATGGTTCGTGATGTCGTCTCATATATGCACATTATGCAACCTAAAATGTTCTGTCCAGTGACCACTTGTTGACGCGGTTGTCCGTCGAATCAAATATTCCAGCGCTTCGGACTTGCTCCGAGGGTTCCGAGATCAACTAACCCACATTGCCGTTTTCCACAGTCGGGTACGCACCGCCGCTCATCTCTGCCCAGTCCCAATCTAGAGTCATGGGGAGGGCGAACAGATCTTGCGGCAGGAGAGGTTGCTGGAACGGCCCGCCCATATTTACTGGCGGCGATCGAGCGCTGTTTGGCCCTGCAAATCCTGTCATCTCGCCAAAGTTGTTGAAGTTTGGTTGTTCTGGTATGCTGAATTCCTGCGGCCATCCGGCAGACGGGAGTGCCGGCGATGGTTCTCGCATCGATGTTGTCGTCATGGGGCTGAAGCCGTGCCTCCTCCGATTCGCTTCTCCATTAAAGTCTGGTGATAATTGGCCGTTTGTCGTCGATGATGTAGCTGCACCGTTCACGGTTTGGGGAGTTGGAGTGGTGACTGAGACAGGCCTAGGTGTGTGTGTTGATGCGGCGGGACTTGACGACGTCTTGACAGCGGCGTCGCTCTTTCGTTTCCTCCGCGAAGACTGCTCCTTCTCCCCCTTTTCGATGACAAGCTTGGCTATCCTCTCAAACTCTGAGCACACTCCGAGCATACGGTGCACACCTCCGGTCTCTGCTTCCTGACCGAGCATGGACAAGAAGTTGACCACGAGATTCATCAACTTGGTATCCGACTTGGCTCTTGGGTCCATTGGGTTCTGCAGAATATTTCCGAATAATGTCATCAAGGCCGATACTGGGAAGTACAGAATAAGCCTACGAGACGAGGTTAGTTATCATAAGCACAATAATCAGCGTTTTGACTCGACTTACCAAACACTTGGAGAATCTCCCTGTGGCATGTACTTGAGAAGCGAGATCGATGCTCGGGCGGCAGCGGTACAGAGCGCCGCAGAAGAGAAGACGCGGGGATTGAGGGGTTTGGCGTTGAGACCCTGAATGGCATAGTTGGACAGGCGACTTGTCCAGTAGCCGTGGTGGACTGACATGCGGTGGATCGTCGTCAAGCAGTTGTAGTAAGTCAAGTGGAGCATGGCAACGTGCAAGATGAGAGGCGTATGCGACGCCTTGATCTCGTGCTCTGGTCTGAAATCGATCGGAATCCTGTCCTTCCATTCCTCGAGTTCCTGGTCGAGCTCTCCGATGGTGTTGAGGAGCTCTCCGCTCGATTGCTTTGTGGCCTTGGTCGAGTACAGTCGAGAGTAGACCTTGCTTTCAATTGTCGCAAACTCGCACATGACCCGGAAGAGGTTCATCTTACCCTTACCATCAGCCAAAGGAATGTTACCAATGTTGTCTTCCGGATCAGCATCGGGTAACTCGACGTTCATATCGTCATCGTCCTGAGCTGGCGGGCGGCCCGCTCGGAGGCAAAGGTCCTTATCCAGCATGTAAGCGATCCAGAACACTCGCTTACGCTGCTCAATCTCAATGGGGTTGAGGTTGAAGCCAGTTCCTCTCTTGTGAAGGCCAATGCTATGTGCAAGACGAATGGATGTGGCGACCAGAAGGAATGTCGGTTGAGGGTTGGGAGTTCCTTGCATAAAGAGGGCCATTCCGAGCAAGGCCTGTACACTCAGCAAATCTGTGTTGCGCATCGATAATTCGGCAAAAGTCCCCAACGCGTTTTTCATGTAACCCCAAGCCTTATCGTCCTCCTCCTGCGGTACAAGATTACTCATGACACGCAGGCGATGGGCAAAAGCCAGAGCACAGTTCAAACTCGCCCACCAACCGGTGCCCTCGTACGGATCGTCGGAATATTGTCGCTCGACCAGATGCATGAACGTGGGTTGATGAAACAATGGGAACATGCAGTTGAAGTTCTCAAAGAAGTCTTTCAGCAGAGACAACGCCTCCGTCTTGGGAGGCAGTGGCCGGAAGACTGGGCGGCGGAACAAGTCGCTGAAAACCTCGGGTTTCCAGGCGGTCCACTTGTGGTCGTCGATTGAAGCTTCGGAAATCATTTGCTGGAACGAGTTGTCGCCCGTCTTCTCGTTCACCCACTGAATACCCTTGGGCGAAAAGATGGAGAAGCCTGACGAGGAACCGATGTATCGCGTCTCGCCACTTTGGTTGGTGACCAGAGAGCACATGAGCTCTGAAAGCGCCTCGACCTCCTCCTCGTTACCCTTCTCCTCGGATACGGAGGCCCGGCGCTTGTCGGCATCCTTGGGATCTCTGTGCGATTCTTTGGTAGGCTCGGGTGACGTTATAGCGCTGTGCGGCGTTGACATGGCCTCGTTCTGCCCCGATGTTGCTTGGGACGGAGATGTAGGGTTAGACGCAGCTTGGGATGCCTGTCTCGACTGCTGTTGTTTCTCTGCCAATCGCTTTTCGAGTGTGCCCAGATCCGTGTCACCGTCGTCGTCTTCGCCAAGAAGACCTACGCAATCGATTAGAACCATTTGCAGACGCATATCAATTTATGCATCACCAACCTGACAGCCTCAACAGATTCTCCATGCGGCCTAGACGGTTCTCGAGCCCTTCAATGTATTTAGCTCTGGACAGCTTGTTAGCCGAATATCGCGGAAAGGACTATATGAGCACATCTCAGCGTACCCTTTTGGCGGATTGCGCTTCTTTTCGACCTGAGTGAATACGCAATCCGTCTTGTAGTTTATGCAATGACTGCAGGCAGGCATCTTGCCGTCGCACTTGATTTTCTTCTTCCTACACATGTCACAAGCCTGCGGGCGCAGATGATTGGTGTAAGCGTTTTACTCTTCTTCACGGCAGGGCCGGCGATGGTCGCGCGAGTTTAGATGCTTACCCTCGCAATCCTTCTTCTCTTTGCCTCGTTTGCATCGTCGAGAAGGGTAGACGGGTCCCCAAACATGTGAGCAGCAAGGTCGGGGGGCATATGCGTGACGGGCAGGCCGTCGGGCGTGTAAGCGCCAAAAATCTGGGGCGGCTGGTTCATCATCTGGGGCGGTCCCCCCATATGAGGCATCTGGAAGCCCATGTGGTCCATGTTGGACGAATTGAGTCGGTGTTCACCGAAGCCGGGCACTCGCGGGGTTGTCGTCAGGACGCAAGGTCCGGGGGCGTGGTTTGCTGTGAAGGTGAGAGGATGCCGATGAGCGCGAGAAGCGCGCGAGTTATCGTCGACGAGCTGATCGGAGTGGTTGTAAAGCGGCGCTGTGCGCAATGGGATTGGGAGGGTGTCTAAGGACAGACGGCAAAGTTGGGAGGAGGAATTGGGGGGGGTTTTCGAGGATGAAGTAAAAGACGAAAAGGGCCTAAAGGAAATCGGCCTGTCACGGTATTTGCAAGCAGGTAGCGTAAGATGGCTAGCGCAGCGGCAGAGGGGTGGGCACTGCTATTCGCTCGGTACTACGGTGGCTTGGTCGAATTGTTAACGCCGAGAGGTGGACTTGTTTCCGTAGCGGACCTCCCAAGGCGATAGACCCCGAAGCTCTTCGTTTTAGGTCTGGCCTGGAATCCGCAGCGGTGGAGTGTCTCGTCAAGGTGAAGCTCGAGCTGAAGCAGAGCGTGAAGCGGTTGACTTAAGGTAATCGGGGTGGCGTAAGAAGTCTCGTCGGGTTGGTGGACCGTGGGATTGTTGGTCGACTAGTCGAGTTGATGAGTTTGAATCACGTTGAGAGAGATAGAGATCCGAAAGGGAAATATCCGTAGAGAGGGAACTTGTGAGGTATGTTCTAACTAGGGGGGCGAACGTACCTTTGACAAGTAGGAAGGGGAGTTGGGAGGTTATCGCGTTGGACGTCTTAGAAGTTCCGTAGTTCCAGCAAGTTTGAATAGCTAGTTAGGAAGGGTGGGAAAGGGGGAAAGATGAAAGAAAAGTTGACGGCTGAATGATGGGACGGAAGGACGATGGACAAAAGAGAAGAGCTGAGCTGGGCGGTATCACATAACTCATCACCTCCTGTTGCACCTTAAGGTACGCAGTACTTTTTCCACAACTTGGGGGAAGGGGAGGGGGGGGCAAACGGCGTTACAGAGTTGCAAACTCGCAGACTCGTCCGTCAATGTGCTTGCAGTGGCATTGGTCAGCGGGGCGTAGCTGACCAGGGGGTAAGGAGGGGGGAGGGGGAGGGGGCACCACTGGTCTCGTTTCGCTGCCCGCGATGCTCTCCCAGATCCCCCAGCTGTAAGGTACCATCCACGGTATCCGCGTACCTTACCCAAGGTACCTGCCTTTCGTGCCTTCCCACGACATTCTACATGCTTAAACAAACGGAAACTTGTACCTTCCACAAGGGGGTTTATTGGAGAAGGATGGGGAGGTGCTTCGGGAGGGGGGCGACCCCGACTTCTGCTGCTGCTGTCGCCCGCCGGCCCGGAGGACGAGATGGTACGAAGGACGGATACGTACAAGGGTGACATGCGTAGGAAGCGAGAGGTCGACTTAGGTTCCTTCCTTACCAGATCAACGTAAGTAGGTACGGCTATACGTACCTTATTACCAATGAATTAAAGAGAGCACATGGCATTCAACTGCATCTCATGTAATAATCCGCGCCTCTTTATTATTCTGCTACGTTCTTTTACACCCCCAAACGTCGCTTTGCTATTTTGGTTTGCTGCCTTCGGCTGCCTCGCCTGCCATTGGAGGATCTCGAAAGCCACCACCATCACAACCACATTGTACTGGTAATGGTGGTGGTGTAGAGTTGCTTCTCCTCGCCAGTCAACGGGCCTCTCACCCCAAGTTCGACGCCAATTCGCTTGTCTGCGGTGCCTGTTGGCCGCCGGAGCAACTGTCTGATACTTCGCGGGTCATGACTCGGCACTTTGATCGATGCTGCAAAGCTGGGTACAGCTGTCAGGAGAGAGGCAGCGCAAGGCCATGCATCTACAATGCCCTAGATCCGTTCCAGGGTACGATGGAGGCCAGGAGACACGTCTACCCCGAGCCGCGACGCCAAGATGCTCCTCCGCGCCCTCACCGATTCGACTTCCAGGTTTTCCGCCTGGTCGGTTCCAACTTCCAACTCATCGACGCCATTGACCACGAGGAGAGCGCCTGCATTCCGTGGCGGACCTCGTCTCCCGCTTCTTGGCTTCCACCATTCATCACTTCACCGTCATGTAGGTCGCTCTCCTCCCCACCCATCCCACTTTACCGGCCTAACCCCCCCCCCCCCTTCAACTTCTAACCCTTTTGATATCGGAATTGTTCTTTTGTCTCAGCTCTCGACCACCCCTACACAGCAATACCCAGCATTCGCAGACCTCCCCCCCGTCGTTCTCTCTGTCACTCTGCAACCCCTGGCGCGGCACCATGTGCGAGGAACACTCTCGCGGCGAATCATATCGGCTGAATCGGCTTGACAGGCCCCATCTACCGCCCGTGCGGCGCCATCTGCAGTGCATGCACGGATACCTTAATCAATCTCCCTCCCCTGGCCTGCACCTCTTCAAGCTGGGCTCCTCCACGTCCCGAGCGTCCGAAGATATCTAGTTCTCCAACTTGGATCCTCACCTCAACCTGAGAGAAGGCGCCATCGAATAGGGAATGGCACAGAAGAAAAGAATAAGAATGGACACGGGACGGATACTTACCAACGATATCACGAACTCTACTCGTTCCCATATTCCAATCAGGAAAGCGGCTCGGTATCCGTCACTGTCTAGGGGGCCATGCTCTCAAGAAAGCTCTAAATCCTGATGGGAAGATGAATCTTCTCGTACCTCGGACACACCTTTTCAGTCTTGACGGCTAGACTAGCTCGGAATCAGTCCAGGAACAAGGGTTTGCTTGATGTGACAGGCACAAGCGCAGAACCTTCTCTCCCTCTTCCTCTTATCTCTTACTCACTCGCAGTCACAGACGCTAGCCAACCGCAACGAGGGAAACCGCCATCCGGCGTCGAGCACGGAGAATCACTCGCATGCGCATATGGCGTGCCGGCCTGGGCTCGTCACGGAGTTATCTCCAATTCGCGGTACCGCTCGCGGGCATTGACGGAGCCCCCACCCCCCTAAACGATAATTGCTTTACCGTTATCGAGGCCTGTCTGAAGCTATGGTAACAGCTTATTCACAATTGCTCTGACAATCGGACAGTGAGGCCTCTTTGCATGCCCAACCAGCTCGGCGAGGCTTATATCCAGTCGGCCGGGTGGAGTGCGCGCGCGGGAGGCCGGGGGCGCAGCTGTTTGATCCGAGCAAGCCGGAGCAAATATCTCGACTCCTCAAGATCCATTTTCAATGACTCCATGGTATTTCATCCTGGCAAGGAGAGATGGGAGAAACGCTCTACGAAAACGGGGCGTGGCCTTTGTCGTTGGATACCGCAAGTGTCTAGAGCGAGCATATCACGAGACAAACCAAGGCATACCACCAAGATCGCACATCGATACCAACGTCAACCCAGCAAGATCTCGTGCTGTCGCCTCGCGCCTCGCTCTTCACTACTTCAGGTTACGCCGCCGCTGCGATGTATTGCGCCGAGGTCCGCGACGCACTAGAGCCCTTCTCGAATAACCATCCCGGGCCTATGTACGGAATGCAGGTGCCATCGATGTCGTGGGTGGTTCATACTGGTCTCGACACCTTCGGACGGTTGAAGATGCCGCAGGGTTCGAAGAAGTGGAGCTCTTGAGACCGGGAGTGAGGTTTCTTACTCCAAGCTCGGGTATTATGCGAGGCTCCTATTGTTATGGAGCAGGAAGCTCTGGCCTGATGGAGGCGCATGCTGTCTTTGCCCCCCCCAAGTATGAAGCACCCGAAGCCACCACGACCGTGTTATACGAGAAGTATCGCAAAATGACAATGGGCAGATGAGGCTCGACACTTGACAGCACTACACCTCCATCATCGACCTTTTTGCGATAACTCGTACTGGATGATCATGAGCGGCCTCGGGTGTGCAGCGCAGTGGTATGGGCGCTTTGCACAGGATGCCCATCTGTTCCTCCATTGAGACCAACTACCCAAAAAAGATGTTTCATCCCGTGTTGTAGATGACGGTACCGGGGAATGGAATGGGATGAGATGGTAAACACTCATAAACGCCTGATGGATGAGACACCCGCCCTACAGGAAGCAGGCCACAGTGAGGTGAGTGCCTACTTTCGTACCCAATCGGGATCGTGTAAGACGCTGCAAAGAGAATACCAACAGTTCTATGCCCAAAACTTGAAGGCGAATTTGTCATGGTAAGGGCGCGGCCCAAGCGGGACACAAGGTTGCAGCCCCAGAATTCTGGGACGGGGGTGGTTGTTGAAGAAAGGCAAGAAAAAAAAAGAAGCTCGACACGACCATTCGTTCTGGTTCCTACCGTTTCATACATGTCTCAAGATGGTTCACCAAGAAAGCGACTCCACCCGGGAAGGCAACAACGTTCTTGGGGATTCTCTGCAGTCTCCTTCTCCTCCCCCCCCCTAAAAACATTCAGACTCCGCCTCCGGGGGAAAGCCTCCCCCATGAAATCAGGGTCCGCGTTTTGTTTTGCGCAAAAGCCTTTCTTTGTGCGAATCTTACGAGCTTTCCCGGAGGCAGCCCGAGGAGAGGAAAGAGTCAACCTTTTGTTCTTGTTCTTCTCTCCTTACACTACTCAGCAAGAAGCCATCCTCCCCATCGTTCAACGCAACCGCATCGGCGCTTCCGGTCCCTCACCCCCGGTCTTGCTACAATTGGATTTCTCTCCACCTTCCAAGGGGAAAAGATCAGACGGGGAGGACACGGCACGGCATGTTCATCATCGCAAGTGGATCCCCAACCAGCGGTTAGGAAGCTCGAGTGAGATAGAGTTCTCGTCACATGGGAGAGCACAAACTTCCATACGCGGAAAAAGATGGTCGCGCCTTTTACTCCGTACGCATGTGGTTTGATACCGTGTACTCCGTACGCTCAAGGCAAGTGAGGTAAGGTAGGGGCAGAAGAACCGTTGGCAAAAAAAGAGGTCGGATAGACTTCATCTTCTCTTTTTCTCCCCTTCGTGGCCGTGGCCAGAAAAGGCAGAATCTAATGTTGCCCTCCACGCTCTATCCCCTTTGGCCCGTCTCTGACCTCTCACTCTCTCTTTCTCGTCTCCCGTCTTGGGGCGGAACTTGAAAAGAAAACTTATTTACATCCAAGCAAGCCCAACACTCGCCTCAGCTGCGGATGCCAATGCAGAAATTGCGGTCCGGAGCCGGCGCACGCGTGCGTGCTTGCTTGCTTTTGAAAAATTGAATCCATATCCCTTCCCCCTTCTCCATGGATTCACCTCTCTTCCGCACGACCAGAACGAAAAAGGCTCATATCAGACGTGCCAGAAACTCTCTCAACGCCATTCCATATGCCGTCGTAGAGTCCGCAAAGATGGCACAAAGCAAAAAAGGTGTAAACCCCCCACCACCCAAAACCCCTCCAAATAAGTACTAGTAATTATCGTTTGAAAGATTGGTAAGAATGTACAATACGCCTCAAGGTACGTTTTTGCAGTCCCGGCGTTGCCCTCGAGCTCGGCATTGGCCGAGCTGGGAATGAGAAAGAAGAAGGGAAAAAAAGTTGAGCATAAAGGAAAAAAGTGAATTCACATGTCTTCGTGAAACCTAGAAGCCGAACCCCGAGAGCCCCGAGACCCGTCCTGTGAAGGTAAGGTCCGACCAATTGGGTCCCGACCGGGGGGCTGTAACGGGACGAACGGCGGATTTGTCTGCGGAGACGCGGCCGGAGGCGGGAACGGCGCCGATTCGGTCACTGGCGTTCGAGCCGGCGACTCTTTGAAGACCACGACACCGCTGACTGGCCTCATGGGCGAGCCGAGTGCGAGGCGTGTTGTTTGACCGTTGGGGTCGAAAAAGGCTTGAGAGTCCCGGAAGTAGACTGATTCGTCATCGTTCACGGTGGCTGAGGTGCCCTCGCGTGGATCTGTGTAACCGTCGCCTCCGGCTTGTAGCACAGAAGGCAGTTTCCTGCCGGCTACTCGGACAAAGCCTCTTTCGCCGGTTTCGGAAGGCTCGCTAGCCCTCCTTGAGGAAGGCTTGTGAGCCACGGCCATCGCACCTGCTCCGGCCCCGGCACCAGCGGCCGCTGTCGTGGGATCAAACGATAACGACCGTTGAACCATTCCGCCGCCGTTGCCACCGGGTGGACCGCCGGAACCGGTCAGGATGCCTCGTTTGCCGGCGCTGGCCTCACTGAGGCGGAACCGTCCACCGGTACGCTTCTTCCACCGAAGAGCGAGGAATACCAACACCACAAGGAAAGCCGCTCCAGCCAAACTTCCTACGACGCTTCCTACGACAGTTGCCGTTGGCGTTGGCGAACCGCTACCGCTAGAATTGTCCGAGGTGGAGGTTGAAGTGGGTGCAGCCGTCCCCGCCGCGCCGCCGCCGATTCCACCAGCGGTCCCATCTCCGGAAGCTGTCGCTTCATTTGAGGGCGATTGCGAGGCGCTCGTGGTAAAAGTAGACGTGCTCAATCTGCTAGAACCCGAAACCGAGGTCGATGCCGATGTCGAGGTTGCAGTCGAACCCGAGTTGGAGCCCCATGTCGTCGATGACAGGGATGAAAGTATTGATGAAGTGACGCTTGTTGAGCCAGACGAAAGCTGGCTAGTTAAACTGGTTGTGGTAGAGACTGAGGTTGAAGAAGAGTTTGTTGACGTAAGGAATGCTAGATATTGGGTCAGCTGCTTCGGTCTAGGACACGCGACAAAAGGGGAGGCGGCGCACAAATTGTCGAGTTTGACTGGCCACTCAACGTAGGGTAGAGTGACGGCGTAGCTTCTGAAGGTGCTGGAGTCGATAAAGGATCGGACGTCAAGGAGATATCTTGACTGGTGGAAGAGTCGGTGGAAGTGGATGTGGTGGGCGCCGGTGTCGACAGTGCTGAGTCATTCGTCGTGCTAGAAGATGTCGTGGAAGAATCGGTGGACGAAGTTGAGGATGGTACCGCGGCAATTGACAAGTCAAGGGCGGCACTGGTGGTTGATGAAGCATCCACGGTGGCGGCCGTCGGGAAGATGGTCTGGACTTGGATAGGGGAGCCGGTGGCATCGACTATTTGAATGAGGGAGACGGTCTGGACGACGATTCTCGGTGCGGCGGCACTCGACGAGGTGGCGGCGTCGGGGCTGGGAGTCGTCGGGCTGGGGTCGTCGAGTTGGCGATGGTGGTGATTCGCATTCTCGGGGGTGGCTGCACGTTGGTTGTGTAAATGGTAATGATTGTGATGGTATGAGCGGGCCTGAGGGAGTGAAGACCCGCGCAGTGATTTAGTCATGGCTTCGATGGGGTGGCGTTGGGCCAAGTAGGCAGAGGCTGAGCTTTTGCCCCGGCCGTTGTGTGTGGTTGGTTGTCTTTTTTGGTAAACTGGGGGAGGCGAACTTCAAGCCGGCGTGTTCCCAGGGCGGGACGGGAATAAAGATAGAAACAAGGTAAACGAGTGACTGGTGTTGGATCACCGGGTAAGTAAGCGAGTGTGAGCGAGTGTGTGTGTGGTTTGTGTTTGGATGAGAATTGTCGATCTATTCGAATTTCATTCTTGGCATCCTCATGGCCATGTGTCGATAAAATGGTACTATCGTCTGGTGGTTGGTGGTTGGTGGTTGGCGGTTGTGGAAGTGGTGGTGGTGTCCTGCAACGGGCCGCGCGAATGCAATTCCCCCTTTCGTTCTGAATCAACAGATGGTCGTTCTTTTTTCCCTACACTCTTTCTGAAATTTCCTCCGGATGCCGTATGTGCGAAAGTGCGATTGCCCCCGGAAAGGACTTAGAAAGCCAACAACAGGAAGAGACCGTGGACAGTTCGTGTCAGCCGTTTCTCGTTGTTCGTGTTCGAGATCCTTTGTCTCCCTTGCATCCGCCAATTCTCATGGCCGATGGATCAGGACGATGGCATGGCGGCGTAAGCGTGTGTTGCTGGCAGGAGGCGAAGAGGAGGGGACCAGAAGGAGTCGGAGTAGGAGAAGGATGAGGGAGGAGTAGAAGAAGAGAAGAGACAGACAGACAGACAGACAGACACACAGGCGCCGCGGATGGGGGGGGGGGGGAGTGGAGTGAGCAGGCACGACGATAATAATAGGCAATGGATCGATCGTAGGCCGGGCTCTAAGGTAAGGTAAGGTAAGGTAAGGTAGGGTAAGGTACTCCGTAGTGTAATAACATGCAATATCCGTTTGGAAAGGGAAACAACGCAGGTCCAGTCAAGTGAGAAAGTCACACCTTTTCGGTCAAAGTTGAGCGCTTCGACGTGAGGTGGGCGTCGCCCTGTTCACTTCAATCTGTTCTTGCCCTGAGAAGTGTCGGGGGGGGGGGGGGGCCTTGGACTTTTGGTAGAAGCAGAGGAGGACATTGGCACTGGGCGGTTGGAAAGACAGAATTGACAAGAAGGTACGGATACTCCGTAGCAAAGCACGAAAGGTACGCAGTAGGACTGGCACACAGGCGCAGATTGCAGTCACTCGCAGGTGGGAAGATTTCGATAATCTCGCTTGATATTGGCGAGTGGCTGCTAGTTGGAGGACATCGCGTCCCATTGGCCAAACACACCTC